GTACACACTTTAAATATGTGTACTCATTGGATCCAATCCCTATATATATATATATACGGATTACCAATATAATATTAACCTAATATTGCAACTAAAAAGTTTGTCATTTTAATATGTTGTAGAATGCCAACAGATTTAACTCGTTGGGAATTTTAGAGATTGGTGATGAATATGCAACAAATACAACTAAAATTCATATGCCAACAACGTTGCCAAATAGTGACGGACATTTTTCATTGGTAAACGCCAACGGATTTGTTCATAATTAAATTACCAACATAATTTTCCGTTGATATTTCTCAATGTATATATTTCATTGATAAATACCAAAAAATTTGCAACGGATATGTATAAGTTCTCTACCAACAGAATATCTGATGAGAAATAACAACATAACACAAACAAACATATCATTAATCATTTCCCAACAGAAATATCACGTTGCCTATTAGTGATATTACGTAATTAGGATTTATTAATGATAATATGTAGTTAGGTTAATCATGTAATTAGCTAACACAATTAGTTAGCTAGTTCGAATAGTTACAGCTGTCAATAATCAGCTGAGAGCTTCCCATATCACTTACATATAAAAGTTGTAAAACAGTAAGTAAAAGTATGAATGAAAATACATTTTTCCATTCTCTGCAATTCTGAGTTCTAAACATAGTATCAAGAGCCAATTTTTTCTCTCCTTCCTGATCGATCAATTTTTGTTTTCTCTTTTCTATGGCCGATCTCCGTCCATTGTTGCCGGCGTTGAGCTCGCTGCCACACTTAACACCTCTTCCGCTCCGCCTCGATCGCTCCAATTTTTCGTTCTGGAAAGCTCAAATTCTGTCCACTGTTCGTGCACATGGATTTGAAGATTTTCTACTTGATTCTACTTCGCCGTCGAAGTTTTTGTCGTCTGCCGGTGATTCAACTCCGCCGACGCTCAATCCGGCCTACACCTTATGGATGCGCAGAGATCAGCTCATTCTCAGCTGGATGTTAGCTTCGATCTCCGAATCTATGCTTGGCCATCTTACCAGGTGCTCTACCTCTGCGGATGTCTAGTCGGTATTAACTCAACTTTTTTTCACACTCAATCGAAAGCACGGATTCTCCATTTGAAATTTCAACTTCAAACCCTAAAAAAGGGTGATCTCTCGATTGATGATTACATTTTGAAAATGCGTAATTGTGCGGATGAGTTACTCTCTGTTGGGCATCATATCACTTATGATGAGTTGGCCATGTACATCCTTGGTGGTTTGGGATCTGACTATGAGGCTGTCGTTGTTAATCTTACCTCTCGTCTGGATTCCATCTCTCTATCTGAAGTACAGTTCTCCTTGCAAACTCATGAAATGCGACTCAACAGTATGCACTCGTCCTCTCCACTTGCTTTTCCGGCCACTTCCTCCCCTGTAACTACTTCCTCTCCGTCTGCTAATTATGTGAACACTCGTGGCTCCAATCATGGCAACTTTCGAGGCCGTGGCAGGAACTCTCGTGGCCGTGGTGGTCGGTTCTACAAAAATACTGATCGTGTTGTTTGTCAACTCTGTGTTAAGGCAAATCATGTTGCCTTAAAATGCTATAAACGGTTTGATATTAGTTTTACAGGCCAGGATGAAGTGTTCTCTCCTCCTCAAGCTCATCTTGGTGACATAACCAGCTCTTCTCATGGCTCTGCTTCTGGTAGTGGTTCTGACCCCAACTGGTACTTTGACAGTTGTGCAACCACTCATCTGACTGTTAGTCTTGACAATCTGTCTCTCACTGTTGCACCATATCAAGGTAATGCAAAAGTTACAGTTGGTAATGGCTCCAAGCTTCCCATTTCTCATGTTGGTTCTTATCAGTTTTCCACTGCTCATTCTTACCCTGTTCTCCTTAACAATATTCTTTTTGTTCCTCACATTACCAAAAATCTCCTAAGTATCTCTCAGCTCACTAAAGATAGTAACATTGTCATTGAGTTCCATGCTGATTTTTGTCTTGTGAAGGACAGAATACTCACCAAGTACTACTGGAAGGACAGCTTAGAGATGGTCTCTATCAATTGGATCTCTCTCAACATGCTGCTCTTCTTCATCGGCCTTCCTCTGAGCATTTTTCTTCTCATTCTACTTTTCTTGCTTGTAAACCCTCAACTGTTTCTGAGGATGTGTTGCTTAGTTGGCATAGGACACTTGGTCATCCTTATTTAAATGTGTTCAAAACTGTTATGAATACTTTGCATATTTCTGTACCCTCTGTTTTACCTTTCTGTGATGCATGTAAATTGGGCAAATTACATCAAAAGACCTTTGTATCTCAGCCCACTAAAACTTCCAAACCTTTTGAATTGCTTCATTCGGATGTATGGGGCCCATCTCATGTTGCCTCTGTTGATGGTTATAGATATTATGTCCACATTATTGATGACTTTACCAGACACACATGGATATTTCCTTTAAAATCCAAGTCTGATGTGGCTTCTATTTTCAAGCAATTTCTGCAGTTTATTCAAAATCAATTTCATACTTTAGTTAAATGTGTCCAATCTGACTGGGGTGGTGAGTATAGATCTTTAGTTTCCTTGTTCAACTCCCTTGGTGTTAGTTTTAGGCACCCCTGTCCCCATACTCATCAACAAAATGGAAGGGCTGAAAGAAAGCACCTTCACATTGTTGAGATGGGACTTACTCTTCTTGCACATGCTAAAATGCCTCTCAAGTTTTGGTGGGATTCTTTTCAAACTTCTGTTTACACCATCAACAGGCTTCCCACTCCTGTCCTCAATCACTTTTCACCTTTTCAGTCTCTTTTTAACTCTTCTCCTGATTTTTCTTTTCTCAAACCTTTTGGTTGTGCATGTTTTCCATATCTAAGACCTTACAATTCTAATAAATTTCAGTTCAGAACTTCTAAATGTGTTTTTCTTGGCTACAGTCCTGCTCACAAAGGATATAAATGTCTTAGTTCCGAGGGCAAAACTTATATTGCTATTACTGTCTCCTTCAATACTGCATAATTCCCTTTTCAATCCTTGTTTGTTTCACCTTCTTCCCCAGCTCCTTCTCCATCCCCCATTTCTGTTCCAATTTCTCCTCAAATTCCTCCTTCTGCTCTTTTACAAACCTCATCTCTTTCTATTTCACCTCTCATTTCTCCTAGTCCTGCATTACAATCATCTCCTGTTGTTTCTCCTCATATTTCTGTCCACTCTCCCACCTCCTCTCTACCTTCATCCTCACATTCTCCTTCTCTTCCCTCTCATTCTATGTTCACCAGATCCAAAAATGGCATCTTTAAGCCAAAATCCTTTTCTGCTCAGCTTACTCAAATTTTCTTTTTGGAGCCAACTTGAGTAGCTGATGCTCTGTCTAGACCTGATTGGTATGCAGCTATGAGGGCTGAGTTTCAAGCCTTGCAATCCAATCACACTTGGGTTCTAGTGGATCCCACTCCAGATATGAAGGTTATAACTAACAAATGGGTCTTTAGGACCAAGTATAAGCTCGATGGCTCAGTTGATAAGCTCAAAGCTAGGTTGGTGGCCAGAGGTTTTGAGCAAATGGCAGGTGTGGATTTTCTTGAAACTTTCAGTCCAGTTGTCAAAGCATGCACTATCGGACTAGTGTTCTCTCTTGCAGCTACATATAAATGGTCAATACAACAAATTGACATTAACAATGCCTTTTTAAATGGGAACTTGCATGAAACTGTTTTTATGGCTCAACCTGAGGGTTTTGTGGATTCCTCTCATCCTCATGCTGTTTGTAAGCTTACAAAATCTCTATATGGTCTTAAGCAAGCACCTCGGGCTTGGTTGAACAAAATCAAAGGTTTTTTGACTACTCTCAAGTTCAAGGAGTCTGTTTCTGACTCTTCACTGTTTTATCAAAGGGTGAATGGTGCTTTACTACTGGTTTTCATCTATGTAGATGATATTCTCATTACTAGGGATGACTCTACTGCTGTTCAACATCTCATTGATACTCTTGGTCAGCAATTTGCATTAAAAACTATGGGTGATGTGAACCACTTTCTTGGTTTTGAAGCTCTTACTACTTCTGAGGGGTTTGTTTTAAATCAAGCAAAGTATGCTTTGGATATTCTTGTTAAAACAGGCATGGTTTACAGCAAACCTGTTTCTACTCCAATTTTTCCTTCTCACAAGCTTCACCTACAGGACAGTGACCCTTTTTCTAATGTCACATTATACAGAAGTGTCATTGGTGCTCTTCAGTATCTTACAATGACCAGACCTGACATATCCTTTGTTGTTAATAAGCTTAGTCAATTTCTTCATGCTCCTACTCTTCACCATTGGCTTGCTTGCAAGCATCTTCTCAGATATATCAAGGGAACGCTTACTGTTGGTCTTCAGTTCAAATATGTGCAGAGATTTACTTTAGAAGCATACACTGATGCTGATTGGGCCAGCTGTGTGGATGATCGAAGATCCACTGGTGGCCATTTCATTTTTCTTGACCCAAACCTTCTCAGTTGGAGTTCAAAGAAACAGCAAGTGGTTTCTCGCAGTAGTGCCGAGTCCGAGTATAGGTGTCTTGCCATAGCCACCTCTGATTTACTCTGGATGCAATCGCTTTTTCGTGAACTTGGTCTATTTTTTGAATCCCCTTCAGTTCTGTGGTGTGACAATGTAAGTGCTGCTGCCCTTGCTTCAAATCCGGTTCAGCATGCCCGTACCAAGCACATTGAGATAGATGTCCATTTTGTTCGAGAAAAAGTAGCGGCTAAGGAGGTTGAGGTTCGATATGTTCCCTCTAACTTGCAGTTGGCTGATCTCTTAACCAAGCCACTCTCTTCGGGACGGTTTCACTTGTTGTGTTCCAAGCTGCCATTGCGGGCCAAGGTCACTTCATCTCCCGGTTCGGTTTCACGGGGGTGTATTAGTGATATTACGTAATTAGGATTTATTAGTGATAATATGTAGTTAGGTTAATCATGTAATTAGCTAACACAATTAGTTAGCTAGTTCGAATAGTTACAGCTGCCAATAATCAGCTGAGAGTTTTCCATATCACTTACATATAAAAGTTGTAAAACAATAAGTAAAAGTATGAATGAAAATACATTTTTCCATTCTCTGACATTGCCAAATAGCAACATACATATTCCATTGGTAAACATCAGTAGATTTGCAACCGATTTATGCTATTTCCCAAAAAAAAATATTGTAGTTGGTAAACAACAATAAATTTGAAATGTATACATATTATTTGTTTACTAACAAAATATTCAATTGAGAAATAATAACGGAGCACCTACAAACATATCATAAATTATTTTCTAACAAAAATATTCTATTGTCAAATAGTAACAAAAATATTCCATCGGTAAACACCAACAAAATTGCAACGTATTTGATCATAATTGAATTAACAAAGAAAAATTATGCTGCAAGATAGAAACAAAAATATTCCAGATGTCATGTGGTTGTAGCCATCAAGTTGGGTCAACAAATTATGTAGCTATTCTATTGGGAAAAATTCGTTGGTATTTTGTTGGAAAAAATTTCCATTTCAATTTTTTTTTAAAAAAAATTGGGTTCATAATCCGTTGAAAAAATATTTGTTAGTAATTAGTTGTAAGTTGTTGGAATGTCACTTGTGAGTTGTTCCACATTGATTTGATAGGGTAAATAGGCCTAGTTTATAAGTCTAGTGGGCTACTCCTCCCATCACCAATTGGTTTTGGGATGGAACCTCACTTGGGCTTCATTTGGGCTAACCCTCTTATGGTACGCTTCACCTGTGTGGGACCGCACCAATTGGTGTTGGAATGTCACTTGTGAGTTGTCCCACATTAATTTTATAGGGTAAATAGGCCTAACTTATAAGCCTAGTGGGCTACTCCTCCTACTACCAATTGGTTTTGGGATGGAACCTCACTTGGGCTTCATTTGGGCTAACTCTCTTATGGTGCGCTTCACCTGTGTGGGACCGCACTCGTATTGCCCCCGTTTG